GCCATGAGGGGCTCCACTCTCATGGGTGGGATTGGTGCTGTTATAAAAGCACAAATTCAGCTCTTCCCACCCCACTGCCCTTCTTCCTTCTGCCGTAGGATGATGCAGCAAGGAGGCTCTCACCAGATACCAGCACCTTGATCTTGGATGTACCAACTTCCAGAACTGTGAAAAAATAAATTTCTGTTCATTATAAACTACCCAGTTTCAGTATTGTGATAGCAGTACAAAACAGACTAAGACTAAGCCTCATGGGTTTGTAAAATAAATATGTTACCATATATAAAAAGCTAAGAACAGTACCTGGCACCTAGCGAGAGACATTGAAATTAGTGCTTTTATTTACATACACCCTAGCTCCTGACAAACTGTGTTCATCAGGTGTCTGTCTTGCCAGCTAGACTTGAATGAAGTCCTTGTGAGAGGGATTCATTCCATGTGTCTTATTTGTCTTTATATCCCCACTCTATGCCTGGCATGTAGCAGGTTTTCAGGAGCTATTTCATTTCTGCTGGTTATCTTGTGCCCAACTCAGCCTCCCTCTCTCCCCGGCCCTAGGCCTGGTTTCACCAACCTTGTGGAGAAAAACAGAACAGGCCCTTTGTAGGTGTGACAGAACTTACTATCTGAAGATAGCTATTCCACCCACATATAGTCTTTCCTTTTCCAGATAATCCATCCCCCTGTTATTTTAGCTGCTCCTAAGTGAACATGTTCACCATTTCTCAAACTAAAGGCCTCTGGGGGCCAGGGAGGTAACAGAATAAAGCAGGAGTGATGAGTTCAGTAGTAAATAGCCAAGCACATGCCTTGACTAGAGCAAGAAGCTCCTTCTCAGCTTCAGCTCACCATTGCTATCAAAGTTTCCTGGTCCAATGTTGCCATATCTTTTGATTTTTCAAGAGAAGCTGAATGCTTATGGGCTATTTCCTAATGCTTAAATATTTGACAATGTCAAAAAGCTTAAAAGTATTTTTTAGGTCAAATAAAACACATCTGAACTAGTAAGCACGAGTTAGTAACTTCTGATTTAATACCAGCAGCCACCAACTCAGACCCCAGCCTAAGTGCATAGCACATAACTCCCAGCAGGGGACCCAGCTTGCAGTCCAATGGTGACAGGTACTTACTAACAAGTTCTGAAAGCAACTTGGTTCTGCACTTTGGGTCCTCATTCTATCCTGTGGCACACAGTCCTCTCCCAGACAGCAAATCCTATTCATTTCATTCAGTCTTGTTCACAGCCTCATTTTCGTCTCATTCATTAGCTTGACTAGTATTTATTAAGCAACTACTATGTGCCAGATTTTAACCATTGGAGATGCAGCAGTGCACATGAAAGATGGTTTTTAAATATTGGTAACTAAATCAAAAAGTTAAAAAAAAGAACCCTTTGTGGGTGGAATTAAAGCTGCAATCTCAAAAATATTTCCTAAAACTTCAATACATGAAAAAGGTAGAAAGGCAGAGTTTCCATGGAATTTTTTTTTTTTTTTTTTGAGACAGGGTCTCACTCTCTTGCCCACACTAGAGTGCAGTGGCATCATCATAGATCAATGTAACCTCAAACTCCTAGATTCAAGTGGTCCTCTTGCCTCAGCCTCCAGAGTAGCTGGGGTTACACGGGCACAGCACCACATCTGGCTAATTTATTTTTTATTTTTGTAGAGTAGAGGTCTTGCTATATTGCCCAGGCTGGTCTTAAATTCCTGGTCTCACCATCCTCCTGCCTCAGCCTCCCAAAGTGCTAGAATTATAGGTATGCACTGCACCAGCCTGCAAAATATGTTTGTAAGCATAGTATACCACAGGAAGTTCCCCCTCCTGGAGTTTCTGAAGTGTAGGTTAGCACAACAAGACTATGCAAAGTGTTACATAAAAGAAATAGGTTTTCCTTTGTCTAATCCAGAATTTTCCACATTTGTTTGTTCATAGAACCCTCTTCTCCCTTAAACATTGTTAGCTTTTAATGCATAACAAACCATCCCCAAAGTTTCATTTTTAAGCAATAATCATTTATTTAGCTCATGCTGCTTCATGTCAATAATTTGGGCTGGGCTCAGATGGATGGTTTTTCAGGTCTTAGCTGAGCTGGCTCATGGGTCTGTGGTTACCTGCCAGGTGTGCCAGAGTCTGGCTGACATAAGATAGCTTAATGGGAACATCTCATCTCTGCTCTAAATGGTTTCTTATCTTCCAGCAATTTAATCCAAGCATTGTCTTGTGGCAGCTGAGCAGGATCCCAGGAGAGCATGTTGAAGGGTGCAAGAGCTCCTGAGATATAAACTTAGACTGGCACAGTATCACTTCTGCTGCATTCTAATGACCAAAGCAAGCCAGAAGGCCAACCCATGATATTATCATATCATGTAATATCTATATGTAGGCCTCAGTACATATATTTTGTAGAACCCATATTGATTCTGATTCATTTTTTAATAAATTTTTGATATGTAATTAAACTGCTTGGGACCTGTAGTTTTCAACCACACTCCAATAACAGCTTAAATGTCTCCAAAACACACACAAATTAAACCTGTATACAAAAGGAATATGTAATCCTCAATTCTTTTCTACTTTAAAAAACCTTAGCCCAGATGATAGCATTTCAAATGAGCAGAAAAACAACTAAGGAAAGATGCAGTGAAGAGTGCATAAGAGCTGGAATATTACTCAGCCTTTAAAAAGAAAAAAATCCTGTCATTTGCAACACCATGGTTGAACCTGGAGGACATTATGCTAAGTGGAATATGCCAGATTTAGAAAGACAAATATTGCATTATCTCATTTATATGTGGAATCTAAAATAGTTATGCTCATAAAAGCAGTAAATAGAACAGTGGTTGCCCAGGGGTTGTAGGGAGGGGAAAATGAGGAGATGCTGATCGAAAGATACAAAGTTTTGGTTATACAAGATGAGTAAGTTCTGAAGATTTAATGTATATCATGTGACTATAGCAACAAATATTGTATTGTATACTTGAAATTTCCTAAGAGGATAGATCTTAAGTGTTCTGGAAAAAAGGAAGGAAGGAAACTATGTGAGGTGATGGATATATTAATTAATTTGATTGTGGTGATGACTTCATTATGTACACCCACATCAAAACATTAAGTTTTACACATTAAATCTACACAATTTTTGTCAATTATACCTCAATAAAACAGAAATTAAAAAACATGAGAGCTTTTCTTCCCACCTTGTGGCTATTTTTTTTAAAAACTCCTGGCCTTAAGCTATCCTCTCGCCTTGGCCTCCCAAAGTGCTAGGATCATAAGCTTGAGCCACCTTACCTGGCCATTTCTAAACAATTTCTTTTCTTTTCTTTCTTCTTTTTTTTTTTTTTGAGACACAGAGTCTCACTTTGTTGCCCAGGCTAGAGTGAGTGCTATGGCGTCAGCCTAGCTCACAGCAACCTCAAACTCCCGGGCTCAAGTGATCCTCCTGCCTCAGCCCCCCAAGTAGCTGGGACTACAGGCATGCGCCACCATGCCCGGCCAATTTTTTTCCTATACATATTAGTTGGCCACTTAATTTCTTTCTATTTATAGTAAGACGGGGTCTCACTCTTGCTCAGGCTGATTTCGAACTCCTGACCTCAAGCAATCCCCCTGCCTTGGCCTCCCAGAGAGCTAGGATTACAGGTGTGAGCCACTTCGCCCGGCCTAAACAATTTCTTAATGTAATACAGTTGTTTCATTATTAGATCATTTCTCTTGATTATTTTATGCAAACAATACATATTCTGAAAATTAATAAAAATGTAACTCTGATATTTAGGAGGAAGAGAAGCAAACTAACATTTACTGACTGCTTAATATGTGCAGCCCTCTACAACTGTTTGGAGAGGAAGATTTTTTTTTCTATTCCCTAAGATCAACAAGTTTAGAATTGTCCACATGTTTTTAGAAAAGGTTCACATGAATATGAGGATTATTCCTGTCTAATGAACCAAAACTACCTTGAAGCTTTGAAAATTATCAGAACAATTTAATGAATAACTGTAGGACACTTTTGTTTTATTGCTGTTGGGACATGCAAAACCCACTCCCCAAAACTACAATTCTTTAAGTAGACTTGTAATCTGCTTCCAGAAACAGAATTCATTTAGTTTTCTGGCCAAAATTGTAATTCCTTCATCTTAGCAGTATTACTTTGCTTTGCTGTAATTATTAAAATACATCAATTTCCCAATAAACCCAAGGTATAACTAAGCTCGATATTTCTTTAGCCCAATAAAACTTACAAAACTGAGACTTGCTTTAAAATGAAGTTCCAGAACCATTCAAAGTATCTTGAGTAGACAATTCAACGTTAACAAGCAATTTAAATCACAAGTCTGTATATCTACACACTGGAAAACAAATTTTAAGTTAAAGATTGTGGGATGTTTTGGGGGGGGAGGGTCCCCGTCCCCATCTGACGAAATATGCTACTGTTCTGGGAAGAGGCTACTTACCAAAACACACGGAAAACTCAACGCCAAGAATTAACAACCTCAGAATTTAAAGTGGTAGATGTTTCTTCAAAGTGTGAGAAAATCAGTCCACATGACCCGGCATGCAAAAACCCATAACCAAGCCCACCCTTCCCTCAGTTCCCAAAAGAAAAATCAAAAGCTCTGACATCACTCAAAGCTGGTTTTTAGAAGCCGACCTGAGGTGAATGAAGCTCCAGCCTTAACTCCAGCGGAGCCAGCGCAGCCGTCAGTTTCTGAGAGGAACTGAGGCGGGCGGCCCTCGGGTTCTGGCATCTCAGTGAGTGAAGCAGACACGTCTTTCTCCCCTGTTTTCATACCATCACTTTACTCCTCCTCACCGCTGAATTCTGGTGTTATCAATTGGGACGACACTGAACCGGCCAGAAGGCACCTCACTCGCGACCTCGCGACGCGCTCACCCGCGTGCCAGGCCCAGCGCCACGGCCGCCCCTTCCCGCCTCGCCCTGCCCGGTCCCTCCCCCCGCGCCACGCCCCCCTCGCGCTCAAAGAGCCCCTCACCTCCTCCGCGGAAGGACTGAAGCTCAGGCGGTGGCAAGACCAGACGCCTGTCGGCAAAGACCACGACGCGCGCTGTCAGGCCATGCTCCGCCATCTTGCCGAAGAAAAGGCAAGTCCGTGCTCGCTAAATCTTTATTGGTACTGTGGCAAACAGGCCGAGAGGAAGATGGTGTCACCCTCATTTGACCAAGGACGAAACAAGATCACAGAGGCTGAGAAAGCCCAGGGTGACACAGCCGCTTCGTGACAGAAGCCTGCTCCTGAGAGGCTCTTTCCCGCCGTCTTACCACCGTGCACTCCTGCCTGGCACCCGCCACGGCCAAGGCCAAACCTGACTCGGGCAATGGTGCAGCCCCAACGATATGCGCTGGCTGTCTGTGGCCGCCCGCCCGTGTTGATATTCAGAAGCAGACAGTGCCCTCGGGGGAAGAACTGCTTCCCCGCCACACTGGCCACAGCAGCCTTGGCCGGACGACGCGATTTTGTGAGAGAAACATGAGCAGAAGCACGTGAGCCGTTCCCAAGAGGAGACTTTAAGAGCCAGCTCAGAGCTCACCACGTTCTCTTTTCCTTTCGCCACAACGAAGGCCCGGTTCAAAGTAGAGGCTGTTCCACCAGCCTGGGTCGTGGAGTGAAACCCCCACACGGTGGACATGAAGCTCAAGTGCAAGGTAAACCCTTGAACCTGTAGGTCGCTGAGATGGGGTCATTTGTCACCGAGGGGTGACCCAGCTGACTCAGGGCTTTGAAACTCCAAGGGGCAGATCCACTGTCCAACGTTTTAATCTTTCCAAATTTATGAGAAATACCAAAGGGATCAAAGAACACGTTTGGGTTTGAATCCTGACTTTGCCATGTGCTATCTTGAACCTTTCTGAGCCTTCATTTCCTTATTAGCAAAAATGGGAATGATAATACCCATTAAAGGTGGAATGTAAAAGAGATAACAAACACAGAGGCCCTCACTCTGTTTTTGGTACTGTGTAAACCCCCCAACTTTTCTCTATCTTCTCCCAATTCTCATCACCTTTCCCTGTTTGCCCATAGCCCTGCTCTGCCCTACCACTATGGACCTGCATTCAGACCACCCCCTGGCCACCTGCCCACTCCTGCACTTTCTCTGCTGTTGCCCTTCTCTCTTCCCAACACCCCTGCCCCTGCATGCACACCAGGCCCTCATCTTCTTTCTGACACCTTCCCTCCCTCCTTCCTCCAACTGTCTTACTTGAGAGCCTCGACCTCTTTCCCTGCATCTGTAATCATCAGTGAAATGCTGAGCACAGCTGGATTTTCTAAGTCAATGGTTAATTGCAGGGAGCTGAGGGTGACCCAGTGGCAGTTTCAAGTATTTGGAGTGTGAAAGAACGAAGACGCTGGTGAGCAGGACGTCTGAAAATCAGCAAACAGGCCCCCTGAACAGCTTCCAAGGGTTCTGATGAAAGCGCTTCTCTCTCCCCAGCTGGTGAGGCTTGTCTGCAAGCCGGAAGCAGTCGAGAGCCAGAGACCACCCCAGGGAGAAGTGCAGCAGGGAGAGTATGTCCTCAGACCTGCAGGATTTTGATAACTTCCCCAGTTTCCATGGCAGCTGGGCTCACAAAGGATTACACAGGAACTAAGCAGCAAAATCTCCAATGAAGTGGTGACCTTGAGAGCCTACGTCGTCTCCCCTCACCAGCAACAGTGGCCTCTTGATGCCCAGTGCCACTAATGAGGGACCCACTAACACCCCTCACACAAAGGACAGACCTTACTGTCTCACAGATGAGGAAGGCACCCAATAAACCTCAGCTCCGGGTTCTGAAAACCATACTGTCAGTCTGTGCCCCCACCATCTCTTTCTTTGCCCAGTCTACAAATTCAGACAATGATGGGCAGTTAAACACCGAAGGAGACTACTCTGCATGCCATCTTTTGGTCCCATGCATTTATCTGTACCAAGGAAAGTTTCCTGAAAAGTCTTCAGCTTTCAAAATGCAGTATTTTTTTTAAGTGCATACTCTGTACAAGCACTGAGAACAGAGCAACAGAGAAGAAAAATATCTAGGCCCCTGCACTCAAGTTGTTTGTAGACAAAGTGGCAGAAACATAAAGAAGTGATTTTAACAGTGAGGTAAGCTTAGGGTACTGGGAGTAAGGGAGTGATGAAAAATGTTTATCACATGACAGGTGGCCAATAATTACTTAATTTAAATGAATTGGTTAATTGTGAAAATGATCAATAAGTGGAACTGATAATATACCAGGCACCTTCCTACCCCAGGACATTTGTACTTACTATTCCTATCTAGAACATTCTTTTCCCAGATACCCTTGTGTGAACTTCCTGCTTCTGCTATAATGAATTACCACAGATTTAGAGGCTCCAAACAACACAAATGTATTCTCTTACAGTTCTGGAGGTCTGAAATCTAAAATCAAGGCTCTATCCAAGGCTGCATTACTTCTGGAAGTTTCAGAGGAGAATCTGCTTCCTCTTTTTTTTACAGCTCCTAAAGTTTGCCTGCTTTCCTTGGTTCCTGGCCCATTCCTGGACCCTTCCTCTGACTCTAAATTCTTGCTTTGGTTATTATATCTCCTACTACTGACTCTGACCTCCTTTCCTACCTCTAATAAGGTCCACCAAGAACATCCAGGATAATCTTCCCATCTCAAATCCTTCATCACATCCTCAAAGTCCCTTTTACCATGTAATGTAACATATTCACAGGTCTGGGCATTAGAATGTGGACATATTTGGGGGGTCCTTATTCAGCTTCCCACAGCCTTCAGGACTCCTCTCCTTAAATTCTGTATTTAGACACTCCTTATCTCTGAGGCACTCTTGGCCAGTCTAGCATAAAACAGACACACACCCATATCTCTGGCACTCCCTGTCTTTCTTACCCTGCTTTATTTTTCTCCATTTTATTTATCCCCATCAGAAATACCATGTATTTGCTAATTTATTATTTATTGCCTCCTCTGACTCCACTGTACTGTAAGCTCCATGAAGGCAAATAATGTACTTTGTTGGCTTTTATATCACCAAAACCTAGAACAGCATCTGAAACATAGTAGATGCTCGATAAATATTTGTTCAATAAATGAAAGAATTGAACCCATAGATGAGATGGCACTGAAGATGAGAGCTCAGGCAAAGGTATAATAGAGAGAAAAAATGGCTGGGGAGGGTCTTAGGCAAAGAGAAAACATGAACAAGGCAAGAATGTGCTTAGTTCCAGAAACAGAAGTTTGGTATCAGTCTGTGGCAGACACTGTTGCCGACCAGCATCCATTCCCCTATTCATCTTCTAATAGAACCCCAGTTTTGAGTATATACTCACCACCCATATACATGCACACCCCAGGTTGCTCAGCAGAATCTGACCCAACCCTTTGTTCTTTATCACATAGGTGCTGGCCCTCTGAGGCTGCATTTCCTAGGTTCCCATGTCAGCCACTTGTTTGGCCCATGGGAGGCACTGATAGGAGATAGTGTCATGGACTGAGTTGTGTCCCTCTAAAAGTCACACATTGAAACCCTAACCCCCAATGTGATTGTGTTTGGAGACAGGACCTTAAAGGACAGAATTAAGGTTAAGCAAGGTCATAAGGGTGGGTCCCTAACCTGATAGGGCTGGTGTCCTTATAAGAAGAGGAAGAGACACTAGAGAGAGTATGTGCACTTGAACTCTCTCTTTTTCTCTTTCTCTCCATGTGCACAGAGGCAATACCATGTGAGGACACAGAAAGTAGCCATCTACAAGCCAGGAAGAGAGCCCTCATCAGGAACCAACCCTGCCGACACCTTGATCTTGGACTTATAGCTTCCAAAACTAAGAAAGTAAGTTTCTGTTGTTTAAGCCACCCACTCTGGTGTTCTGTTATAGTGGCCCAAGCTGACAAATCCAGGAAGGTAAGAGAAAGAGAAAGCCAGGCTATTTCTCTCCATCCTTTGACTCTGGCAGTTCTGTCTCATCTGTGGCTCTTGTAGCCCCTGGTCAACAGGCCCACATGGTTCCTGCTTTTGCCAGGTGATCAAGGCCTGATCTGCAGCCTTTGTCCTGACACCTCTGCCTTTCTGCATGCTAACCTCGGATGGATCATCTGCATCATCCCTTGTTGGCTTCTCAGCCCTTCATTACCTATGTAACCAATTCCCTGCATTCAGTCTCCCCTGTTTCAAGAACTCGCACTGGTTCCTGTGTTCCTGGTTGGACCCTACCTGACACCTCATGTGAAGCATAAAGTATGTGTGCAGAAAGCAGCACCAAAGGAGGTTCAAGGACATTCAGGGGCCATCTCACCAAATTCCTCACCCATCAAACTGTAGAGTTTCAACCATACCCAGAGGGCAATGAGAAGCCATCACTGTAGCATTTTCAGCAGGTAAAGGGGCATTTTCAGGGCTTCATTCTAGAATGATCAAGTCACAAAGAACATCTTCCTGCAGCATCTGGAGAATTATTCCTTGGAGCTTACATTCTCCACAGGTCTCCCTAATACTGAGTAGACACAGTCTAAGACCTTTTTTTCCAAAAGGAATCATCATGGAAAGAGAAGAGGGACAACAAAGTGAATGGAAGGAGAGACCTGTCCTTCCTACTCTCTCTGGATCTAAGCATTCTTGCTCTAAATCGTGTTTAAATGTAATTTACATGACAGAGCATGCTAGGAAAACGAGTGTGCCCACTCTCACCCATTGTGTCATTTGCAAACCCCATATTCTTGTGCTTAAAAGCTAGGAAGAGTAGGGACTGAGAAAATGCAAAGCAGAAACACCCCATTCAGCACTTTGAATATAGGATTTATCAGTTCCACATAAGGGTGTCATATGGGTGACGCAGCAAATGCCAGCTGGTGGCTGCATTTCAAAGGGCCAGCATCTTGATCTGCACTATCAATCATATGAAACAAACAAGCCTATTTTTTCTTTGTCATTCTTTGGCAGAACTCTCTCTTTCTGTTGGTTTGCTTTTCTCCCTCTCTTTTCCCTTTTTCCTTCTTTTTCTTCTTCATCAATTTTTTTTTTTTTAATATTCTTGGAAACACTTTTCT